CGGCCATCGTATTAGGATGCTTCTGATAAGGCATAAAGGTCCAGAAATTGGCCACCTATAACACGGCCATCGTATGAGGATGCTTTTGATAAGGCATAAAGGTACAGATTGGCCACCTATAACACGGCCATAGTTCTAATATGCTTTTAACAAGGCATAAAGATACAGGTCGGCGTTACCAATGGCAATACCCAGTTTTTCCTAAAAGAACTTAAGTCTTTATTTAATCTTTGAAATAAAGCAATGCATAAAAATATATAATTCTATTTCTCTCCAGTATTGTAATTTTTATCCTCGTACTGCTGTGTACTTTTACTTTTCCAGGGGCTGCAAGGACAGCCAGCGCCGTTCTTGTCCTGATGGGCTAAGGATACCTGTTATATGGCAGCTGCGCCGGAGGAAACAGCGAATATTCTCTCGTAAACTCTCCTTATACCTGTTAACCTCCCCTGCCTGTTAGCCCTCTTTACCTGTTGACCCTCTTTACCTGTTAACCTTCCCTACCTGTTAGCCCTCTTTACCTGTTGACCCTTTCTACCTAGTAACCTTCCCTACCTGTTAATCCTCCTTACCCCTTAGCTTACTTTACCTGTTAACCTTCCTTACCCTTCAACGCTCTCTACCAGTTAACCCTCTTTACCTCTTGACCCTTTCTACCTGTTAACCTTATCTACATGTCAACCCTATCTACCTGTTAACTCTCTCTACCTGTTAACCCTCTCTGCCTGTTAATCCTCCTTACCTGTTACCTCACTTTGCATGTTAACCTCCCTTACCTTTCAACGCTCTCTATCAGTTAACCCTCTTTGCCTCTTGACCCTTTCTACCTGTTAACGTTATCTACCTGTTACCCCTCTCTACCTGTTAACCCTCTCTACCTATTAACGCTCCCTACCAGTTACCCCTCTCTACCTGTTAACCCTCTCTACCTATTAACACTCCCTACCAGTTAACCCTCTCTGCCTATCAACGCTCCCTACCAGTTAACCCTCTCTACCAGTTAACCCTCTCTACCTGTTAACCCTCTCTACCTGTTAACCCTCTCTACCTGTTAACCCCCTCTACCTATTAACGCTCCCTACCAGTTAACCCTCTCTACCTGTTAACCCTCTCTACCTATTAACCCTCTCTTCCTGTTAACCCTCTCTACCTATTAACGCTGCCTACCAGTTAACCCTCTCTACCAGTTAACCCTCTCTACCAATTAACGCTCCCTACCAGTTAACCCTCTGCAACGCTCAATTATTGGCTAGATCATCCGTTTCTAACCAAAGAAATTTTCATATAGGTACACACGAATAATAGACTAGTGCCATATTATGCTAATCTCGATGAATAACTGCACAAATTTCAGCTGTGAATTACTCCTTATCAACATGAATATTTTATACAAAGGACATAAGAGTTGTTTTGTGGAACCTTTTAATTAAAATTACATCTTATTTAGACTCGTTACGGAGTCTCTGAAGGGGTTGAGGTCAAGAACAAAGTAATAGGAGAAAAAATCGTGTATGCTCCACGACTCGAGGGTCAGCCGTTAGGACGATTTCTGGGCAGTTGTATTAGGATAGTTCATAGCTACGTTCAAACATCTACTATTTTTCCTCAGTACATATATTAATTATAAAAATTCTAAGTTCATAATTACGTTCAAAGATTTCTTACATTTCATTTTTTTATAAATTACGTTCAAACAGTTTAAATCAAATAAAAAAAAATTACTATTTTCCCTCAGTACATATATTAATTGCAAAAATTCTAAGTTTATAGCTACGTTCTATACTATTTACTATTCTTCCTCAGTACCTACAATAAATACAACAATTCAAAGTTCATAGCTACGTTCTAACATTTACTATTCTTCCTCAGTACATACAATAATTATAAAAATTCTGAGTTTATCGCTATGTTCTAACATTTTCTTTTCTTCTTTTGTACGTATAATAATTACAAAAATTATATGGATCGTTTCAGTATCACAAATACTAAATGATGTGAGCAGGAATAAAAAATATTCATCACACGTTTTATAGTTTCGAATATTCTGGCGCATTCATGGACAATTAACGTACGTTTTCTGATGCATTCTGGAAGTACGAATGTTCTATGGCTCGTTCTAGAATTACAAATATTATTTGTATATTATTATTTTCTAGAATTTGAACAGTCTATGGCAGAGTCTAGAATCATGAAAATTCAACAGCATCTGCTAGAATTAAACCCTTTGCTTTATATTAAATTATGTAAAAGCGTTGGTTATATTTTTTCATTCTCTATATAAAAGATATCAATCCAAAATGCAGGTCTGAAATATCAATAAGAATGAAAAATTTTACAGCCAACTTTTAATTGTAGACCGCTGCCTTCTGTAGTAAGGTTTGTTTGCAAAGTATAGGGAAATTTTTATATGATAAAATGTACTTAATCTGAGAAACATTAAGCAGTGACCGATCTCTGCACCAGATAAACCACATAGTAATTAGAAGATTACATATTAAATTGAATTAGTTCATCCATTATGTTTCTAGACAGCATACATATCCACCGTTTGTTAGCCAAACGTAACTGTCCACTTTTAAGAATTGTAAATAAGCTGCTAGGAAAAACATATAAAACGAACCTTCAAATGAAATTTAAATGAAAAGCAGGATAAATGTATAAGATAATTTAAAATACGCTGATTGTAGGAAACGCGTTAATTCTTTGCTTCATGATAAGTTAATTTTGCTGAGACCGAACTATCACAACTCGGTTAAATGCACGTAGCAGCCTAAATACACGTAGCGTCCTTAGCACACGTAGCGTCCTTAGTACACTTAGCGTCCTTAGTACGCGTAGCGGCCTTACAGTACACGTAGCGGCCTTAGTACACGTAGCGGCCTTAGTACACGTAGCGTCCTTAGTACACGTAGCGTCCTTAGTACGCGTAGCGTCCTTAGCACAAGTAGCGTCCTTAGTACACGTAGCAGCCTAAGTACATGTAGCGGCCTTAGCACACGTAGCGGCCTTAGTACACTTAGCGGCCTTAGTACACGTAGCGTCCTTAGTACACGTAGCGGCCTTAGTACACGTAGCGGCCTTAGTACACGTAGCGGCCTTAGTACACGTAGCGGCCTTAGTACACGTAGCGTCCATACTACACGTAGCAGCCTAAATTCACGTAGCGTCAATAGTACACGTAGCAGCCTTAGTACACGTAGCGTCCTTAGTACACGTAGCGTCCTTAGTACACGTAGCGTCCTTAGTATACGTAGCGTCCTTAGTACACGTAGCGTTCTTAGTGCTCGTATTAGCCAATTTTACATCTCTGATTTGAAATTGTTCAGCATGAAAATAATCGGTGATTGGCTGACATCTTATGAACTCTTGACTAATTTTATAATACTGCCTCGGGTCACTCAGGTCTCGTCAAATAATGTTAACTAAATTCAAATCAAACTCAAGGTCGTGAGAAAATTTCTTTATCCTTAGTCACCTTCCTGGTAGGAATGATTCATCATAATTATGCGATATTTAGCTTTTCTCATACATTAGTCGAATTTTTCAGAAACACACATGATACTTCAACATCAGTTTTGTGATAGCTTAAGAAGTGTTCCCTGAATTTCACAAAAATTTTTAAGAATTAAATTCTGGAAAAAATGTGCAATTATTCAATATCAGAGACTTTTTTATTTGTGAAATCTTGAGTTTTATTGTTTGGTCAATTGACGTGCATCTTTTGTAAATTTAAACACTGAAATTTATAAATTTGATTGAATGAGGTAAAAGGGCTATAAGCTTTAATAAAACTAAATATTCGTTTGATCACGTTAAGGGGACAGTTATACATCGTTATTACAAATAAATGAAACAGGCAAAGTTGATCTAATAAAAAATACTATCAAATATTCTATCTACAGCTGAATTAGCTATAGATTAGATCAGACCTATATTTGTTATATACATAATATAATTTTTAAATTTTATAGTATACATATTATATTTGACATAAAATGATGCATATAAAGATAAAGGAACAGCGTCCTGCCTGGCTTACCCTAGATAACGCTTGTTATTATCTACTAAAAAATGCGCATGAATTCGCCATTAATTTGCATTTGTTTCAGTCGCAAATTCAACTAATTTATATCCTGTTTCGGCTCACGGAAATGCTAACCATATCGTACCCATTCCATGATAATTTTGACCCTTCATGGTAAATATTTTTAATGATAATTAAGATCCTTTACCGCCAGCCTTTTGCTGAGAGACTATTTATATTAGCAATAAATAAGTTAAGAAACTTATAATCATTGAGAAATACTAGGGAAAGACTGGAATTCATCAAATGCTTAAATATTACCTAGAATTTAACTATGTTATATTAGATTCTTAGTACCTAACTATACTGCTCAGTTCAAATTTTTGTAGCAAATCTTCGATCCTGTGCAGAAAGAAAGGAGACCAAAAAATCCTTCTGCGAAATCAGAATTTTCTGTGCTGCATTTTTAGCCCTTAAGAAGCATAACGAGAAACTATAAACAGCCTATTTGTTCTATTGGTAGACCTTTTCAAGTACACTGCCATCAAAATTTTTTATCAGAAACATATTTTCATTGAAAAATATGATTTTTTCACGGTTTAAAAGCCATGATTCTTGCTCATATTCGGAATTTTCCAGCATGAATTTTCCGTATAATTTCATTTACAACGAACATTTTTACCAAGACAGAAAGCGAAAGGCAGTAGGAAATGCAGCCTGTATTGGCATGCAGCAGACATGGAGGTCGTGAGACCTTGTAGCAGTTAGGGATGGTTGGCTTCCCATCTGTGTAATTAGGGATCCTAAAAACGTAATTTGGGACGTAGAATTCTAATAACTTTATCTGTGACCTGTACAATTTCTTCGGGTCTCAGGACAGGTAATGGAACACGCCGCGTCGACCCAGGACAGATGGCCTTGCTATATAAACCCCCGGAGAGCGTGACCAGCGGGTCACTCTCGTGCAAGACGTCGTCGTGTGTGCATCGAAGGTGAGGGCCGCGCATGGCAAGCAAACAACCGGAAGCGCTGTTCTAGAAATTTGCCCTGTAATCAGACAAGCAAATACGATGGATGCTGGATATTTACGGTTGAATGATAAAATAATGATTGGATTTGGCTCATTCTATTATAAGATTTACTATTTTACTCTATATTAGCCTCTACACCTCGATCTTCTATTGAAATTCAGGTATTAACACCCAATTTTCCCTACAACGGCTAGAATTATTGTTTTCATTTGAATTGTGAGCATCTTATATGTCAGTAAAATTGGATTGTATGAATACTCATATTAAATTATTATGCACCTACTAAGAAATTATCATTCGGTTAAAAAATATCCTTGGCTTCTTTTGAGTGGACAGTAGCTTTTTCTAAATTTGTCGGCAGTAGTTTTTCCACTATACAATGAACAAATTTACTGCAGTGAGCATTTCGTAAAAACTTACTCTTAAGACCTAAGATATCGTCTTTTCTATTTCAATAAATCCCGTTTTAATCACACTATTCTCTACGCAGTGTTAAGCTCAAAACATTTTTAACTGAAAATAAAACCTGTCATCAATCAGCCATGATCAGGCTCCTGACTCTAGCCATGCTAGCCATGCTGGCAGCTACAGTGTCAGCACGAATGGCTTACGAACTGTCAGCTGGATACGACACGGTGCTGTCAGCACCACTGCAAACAACCTTCTCGTGTGATGACCTGCCGTATGGATACTATGCTGACACTGATAACAACTGCGAGGTGGGCGAGGCCTTTTTTTAATCTTAATTCATAATAAACCAAAAACATGGTAATATTTTATATTTTATCATAAACATATTAATTTATTCCTATTTTATTTATTTTATTTTAAACATTAAAATTTATGATATTGCTACCATTGTTTAAGAAAACCTGCATGACATTTGGTGAATTTCAAAAACATAAATATTAAAAATAAAGAATCAACAATTATTAGTGCATTGAAAACATTTTTGGATGAGTGTATGTTCTTTAGGGCCACTTAAGTGCCTTGATAATATAATAATAAAATATCATAATTAATGATAAATTCATCATCAAGGACATTATCAAGGAACACATAAGTCATCATCATACAGACACTGTCATCATACAAACACCATCATCAGTTTCAGCCTCCCCTTATCCATCATTCATCCATATTCATCCCGCTATACTCATATCACACAATCACCTTCATCCATGCTCGAGTTCATCCCTGTAGAAGGAGGTAGATTTCCTTTTAATTCACTTTAAGGCTGACGCTTCAAAATAAAACGTAGGAGATAGGGGTAGATTCCCTTTTAATTCACTTTAAGGCTGATTCTTCAAAATAAAACGTAGGAGATAGGGGTAGATTCCCTTTTAATTCACTTTTAGGCTGATTCTTCAAAATAAAACGTAGGAGATAGGGGTAGATTCCCTTTTAATTCTTTTTAAGGCTGATTCTTCAAAATAAAACGTAGGAGATAGGGGTAGATTCTCTTTTAATTCTTTTTAATGCTGATTCTTCAAAATAAAAAATTATCGAGCACAATTTACTGAAGCTCTCCTTAGCTTCCCGCGGTGAAAGGAACGGTCAGCAGATAATTTTTTTTTTGTTGGGGGGGGGGATTTGGGAGGAGGACAATTGAAAAAAAAATACCCCTGAACCTGTCCTGAATGCCATGCCAGGGATTAGACTCAATGACCGGTACTCTGGAATGCAAGTGAGAGCAATGTTTTGATTTAAAATTACAGCGAAAAATTTCGTGAACAGCGGTCGGAGATTTTAATGTGGAATTAATAAAGTTTTGGTATTTTTTTAGTTAAAAGATAAAACAAGTGTTGGGGCCAATCATACCTTTGGGTTAAATTTAATTTATCAGTTAAGAATCTCGATATGACGTCAGTTAAAAATCTAAAGGGAATTAAATAAAAAAACTAAATATGGTTTTAAATTTCTATGAACAACTTTTAATATCTCCTTTACAGTTTTACATGTTATCTTTTCCTATTAAATATTTTTTGGTGGTCTGCATTGAGGAACATGACATTTAAAGATTATTTACATTATTTCCATGCGAAAACTTATTTTTGGCTGTCCTTTACTAGCGATACAAGTGTTTTTATTTATGGTTTAAGTACAAGTGAACCATAGATGGTCTGATTATTGTAAAAAAGTAACGTTTATGGTACAGCTTTTGCGGTACATTGTCCCTCAGCTGGTCGATTGACCTCAGACCATTTGGCATCGGAAATCCGAAGCTCTTAATCCTTTACTTTTTGTCAGGACAACTTTTGCCTCATGTTGTAATGCTAATACTGCCTGCAATACTGTCTATATATGAGTCAGCTGTAGAGGATTGCGAATAAGTATGGTGCTCGGGGTGATGCTAGGCAATCCATGAATGATGAATGCATATTCATTTCCATTAGTGAAAGTGAGCGGCAAGATCGTGGCTATGGAAAAAAACGCGAGTATTTCACATAATGAAAGTTTGGGTCAAGTTTACCGTCACCCTGAAAAAATAGTGCAATAATTACATCCTCCTGGACTCGTATAACCATAGGATGAATAATTTTGGATGTTAAATTGGTTTAGCAAAATTATTTGAACATTAGCTTTGAACATTTCTCACAGTACTGTGGTTTTGAATCCTGGAACGCGAACTTGAAATAGTTTATAGAAATATGTAACAAAAGAATATAACTCAGTACTCACTGCAGTGAGTGACAGAGAGCGCTTTTTCTCGTCCGCTCGTGAAGTCACGGACAGACAGACGGACAGACAGACGGACAGACAGACGGACAGACAGACGGACAGACAGACGGACAGACAGACGGACGGACATGACGAGCACAATAGCGCATTTTTTCCATAAATGAGAAAATTCGCTAAAAAGAATATACCAAATGAAACTGGACTATTCACGTTGAAGTCTGAAGTAAGTACGTTGTAATTAAATAAGATCATGAAGCAATCAAAACGGTGCATAGTTGTTTACCTTTGCTATTTTTTCATCACAATATCCTGTTATGTTCATATAATGTTAAATAAATGTTGTGTATTATCTCATGTTGCTGTAGCATTTCTTAAAATATTGACTAATTTAAAATTAACTCTTTTTGACACCTCAGTACTTGAATTTTACGCCTTCTTGTCAGTAAACATAATTTATTCGCTGCATACTTATGACATCACCTTCTTCTTTGGAGCGCTTCAAATATAAATAAATATATTATATATATATATATATATAATTATATTACAACTAGGGACTGTTCATGAGTGCATGTAACATGCCCTCTTGAGTCATATAGAGAGCATGCAAAATACACTGCGTCAAGGGATTCTTTAATTTAGCTGTTCTGTAAAAGACGCTATTTCATCCATCATCTNCTTATTCTGTGGTTTTCAAACCATGGGTTTGGCTTTAAAACCCCGAAAAACCCTTATTCTGTGGTTTTCAAACCATGGGTTTGGCTTTAAAACCCCGAAAAACCCTTATTCTATGGATTTCAAACCATGGGTTTGGCTTTAAAACCCCGAAAAACCCATATTCTTAGTTTCACTCCAAAAAAACTTCCATTGCTCAGGCTTTTCTTAGAGGAGTCCAGATTAAACAAGTGTGCCTGCCGATTATTTTTAATTGACCTTCAATCAATCAAGTTATGTTAGGATGTGAAAATTTCATCCACCTAAACACGGCTACCATATTTTTGATCTTCTAGAATTGAGAACAAAATATCCTATGTTCACATACCTCCATATCTTTCATCAATTTTATAGAATAGAAGTGTCGGCACTGAAGAAATAGGCCCATGGCCTGTTGCCGATTCTTGAACTTTTCGTGACTTGATTCACAAGGGATCCGGCCTTTGGAACCCGATCTTTCCATAGCTGACGATTGATTGAGATAGCTGCTGGACTTATTGCAAGGCCCGTAAGGTGCTAGGCATTTAAAAAAATGTATCACAAAATTTTTATCACAAAATGTGTCACAAAACAAACCACATAACTACAGTTGAGCACTACTAAAATAATATTAACTCCAGGTAATTGATTTTTTCAATTCATTGATAATTCATTATTAGTCAATAAAATTACTTAAAACAATTTAAAATTCATTGAAAACGGATAAATTAATTAAATTTTTATGTGTCATTTTTAAATGAAAATTTTCAACATTTTCGTTAATTTTCGTATTCAGCTTCAATTTACACCACAATTTCCTCGTTTTCTTGTCCAGGTTTTCCACGTGTGCTTGCCGATCGCAGACGAGATCGGGGCGCTGGTGGAGACCGCGCACTTCAGTTATGTGAATTTTTTTCGTGAATTTTCGTATTCAGCTTCAATTTACACCACAATTTCCTCGTTTTCTTGTCCAGGTTTTCCACGTGTGCTTGCCAATCGCAGACGAGATCGGGGCGCTGGTGGAGACCGCTCACTTCAGTTTCATATGCGGCAACGAGACAGTCTTCAGCCAAGATTCTCTTACCTGCACTTACAGAGACGAAGCATTCCCATGCGATCAGGCCAGAACGCTTTATGATCTCTCCAACGCTGAGTTCGGCCGCATCCCTGAGAAAAAATAAAATTTGGTTAACGACATATGAGCATTGCTAAAACAAAGTTCACTCCAGATAATTGATTTTTTTCAATTCATTGGCAATTCATTATTAGTCAATAAAATTCCCATGCGATCAGGCTAGAACGCTGTATGATCTCTCCAACGCTGAGTTTGGCCGCATCCCCGAGAAAAAAAAATTTGGTAAACGACATTCGAGAATTGCTAAAATAATAATTAATCCGAATGATTGATTTTTTAATTCATTGGTAATTCATTATTAGTTAATAAAATTACTTAAAACAATAGGAAATTCATTGAAAATTGATAAATCGAATTAAAATACGATAAAAATATATTATATTAATTTGAAACAGTTTACATGTATCATCAGAGGTTTAATGTTATAACGTTAGCCTGTTTGTCAACAGGCATTGGAGGTTTAATTGAGCGTCAACTTGTAAAATCAAAGTTTTGTGAATAAGTGTTAAATTGAAATTACCAATTACGATGATGTATTAATTAAATTAATTCGGGATTTAAGCATTAATTTGGTTGTTTGCTATGCTTAGTCCTGCAACCAGTGATCAAAGTTTCAGAAATTGGAAACATAATTGTTGAAAAGTTCACGATCATAATTTCAAAAAACGCAATCAGTGGAACGTTTATAAAATTAAAAAATCGATGACCAATATAATTTTTTATCTGTACTCATAAATTTTACTCATTTAGTTGATGAATATTCCATTATTACATTTTTCCAATATTGTACATATGAAAATTTACCGCAAAGCAAGGTTTTAATTACCGTTAGTAATTTACATCAGTTGCTGAGCGCATTGCTGTCTCCAAGCAATTTGAAGTCCGTCAAAGAGAGATGCAAACTTAATTTGACCTGAAAAATAATAATTTCAACTAAATTTCTTTTTTACATTTCTTTAGAGTGAGAATAGGAAAGAAGAATTTATAAATATTGTCCATTCGATACTATGCATAATTTTATACTTCCATTGGACTTTTAAATTTTTTAGAAAAAATTCATGTTGTTTCAGTACCCTTTACATTAAACGACAGTTATTGGCTACACAATCACTACCGTACAGATTATTTGGTACAGTTACGCTGGTGCAGCTACAAGGAGAGTTACACTCACTATACGCAGGCACACATACAGGGCCAGTTACACAGTTCAGCAGTTACATATACAGTGACATTTACACAGTTACAGGAATTTTTACACAGCTCTGAGGGTACAGCTACATGGACTGTTGCACAGTTCCGCAGTCACAGCTGCAGGGACTGTTACACAGCTACAGCTAGGGACTGTTACGAAGCTGTAGATGTAGCTGTTACTACAGCTACTACTACAGATGTAGCTGTTACTACAGTTACATCTTCAGAAGCAATTATATTGATATAGAAACACAGGCACTGCAGTACACGTTCAGCAAATGCAGGAGTACTGCTGCAAATATACAGCCCCATACGTAGAGCCATACAAGTACAGCTGCAGTGACAATTACACAGGTACAATCACACAAGTTCAATATCACACAGCCCACACTCGTAAAACACAGGTACAGCAACGCAGTATAGCTCCGCATGCACAGTGCACAGATTTGTTGATACAATCACACAGGTGCAACTCCATACAGGTAGAGCTACACATGTAAAGCTATATTCATACAGCTACGCAGGTACAGCCGCATACATACGCACAGACACACATGTACAAATAAGTTTATAATACAGCGACACATGTACAGCTATATTCATACAGCACCACATGTACAGCTGTATTCATACAGCCACACATGTACAGCTGTATTCATACAGGTACACATGTACAGCTGTACTCATACAGCCACACATGTACAGCTGTATTCATACAGCCACACTGTACAGCTGTATTCATACACCCACACATGTACAGCTGTATTCATACAGGTCCACACATGTACAGCTGTATTCATACAGGTACACATGTACAGCTGTACTCATACAGCCACACATGTACAGCTGTATTCATACAGCCACACTGTACAGCTGTATTCATACACCCACACATGTACAGCTGTATTCATACAGGTACACATGTACAGCTGTACTCATACAGTCACACATGTACAGCTTTATTCATACAGCCACACATGAACAGCTGTATTCATACAGCCACACATGTACAGCTGTATTCATACAGCCACACATGTACAGCTGTATTCATACAGCCACACTGTACAGCTGTATTCATACAGCCACACATGAACAGCCGTATTCATAAAGCCACACATGTACAGCTGCATGCATACAGCCACACAAGTACAGCTGTATTCATACCGCCACACAGGAACAGCTGTATTCATACAGCCACACATGTACAGCTGTATTCATACAGCCACACATGTACAGCTGTATTCATACAGCCACACAGGAACAGCCCCACGAGATCAACCATTCAAGGATCGGTACCTGGAGGCTCGTCGTAGTCTCCAGCGCCTTCAATTATTCAGTCTTAATTAACACTTGTACACTGCTAGCATTTTTTAAACGACTTTCATTTTTAGCACATTTTCTCATTTATGGAAAAAATGCACTCTTTTGCTCGCCATGTCCGTCTTTCTGTCTGTCTGTCTGTCTGTCCGTCCGTCTTTCCGTCCGTGACCTCAAGTTTACGTCAACGAGAAAATGCGCTCTCTGTCACTCACTGCAGTGAGTACTGAGTTATATTTTTTTAATCTGCTAGCATTTTTTGTAAACGACTATCAATTTTTTAAACTGCTAGCTTTTTTAACTGCTAGCTTTTTTTCAACGGCTGGCATTTTTTTAAAACTGCTTGCATTTTTAAACTGCTAGCTTTTTTAAAGTGCTAACAATTTTTTAACTGATATTTTTTTAAACGGCTAGCATTTTTTAAAACGGCTTGCATTTTCTTAAAATGCTATCATTTTTTTAAACTGCCATCATTTTTTCAAACTGGTAGCTTTTTTCAAACTGCTATACTTTTTTGATAAACTGCTAGAATTTTATTAAACTGCTATCATTTTTAAACTGCAAGAATTTTTTTAAACAGCTAGCATTCTTTTACACAATTACTTTTTTGTTAAAATAATTCACCACGCAAAAAATTTGCATGACACTTATAAAAAGTACGAGAGGAAATCATTTGATCGGCATGAGGTCACGCTGTGCTAAATCTGAATTTCAAACGTAATGTCAATTTTCGCAAATTTATTTCGATTTTTTTTAAGAGCTGAACAAACTTATTCGAAAAATTTTGCGGTTTATAAGCGTTAAAGAATATGAATAAAATTTTAACTAAATTCAGTGCAAGTATTTACATTTAAAAAAAACAGATTCTCAGACTTCATTATTAGTACCTATTTGCATTTTTGTCCTATATACTGTAGTCATAAGATTTTTTCATTTTCACGTGACACACATTAAAGAACTGAAGTAACTAAAGCGATGATGATAAAATACGCTCCGAATTTTTTGTTTTATGTGAGAGTTTAATCTTAAAAACTGGTTAGCAGCGCCAGAATTTACAACTCATCGTTTCATAAAATTCGAGTATGAACTGTGAGTTTCTCAAAATTAGAATACTGCATATTTTTTTACCTAGAAATATGCTCTTAAGAAGAACAGCACAGTTTATTAGCGATGATCGATAATTTTCTAACCGCACTAGACAGTTCGCCAACGGATTCGAGTTCGAGGATCAGTATACAGTACTGTTCCCCTAATGTTCCTATTTTTTTTTTTTTTTGAAGGAATCCGCACATGCAAGAAAGATATAAAAAAAATCCTTCTTCAAGACTCTTACGATAGAAGCCCGCATCAATCAGTTCACGCGGTGTCGGTTAAATTAAGCCTCTTTTAGATCGGCATGCGTCGCTCCATGCGGTACTTTGGCCTGTAAAATTGTGAGAAAACAGAAAACGAGTCCCGAAAAACGCAACGTTTTTTCGAGGTCCCAATGGCTAGCAGCCGTGCCAGAAAAAGTCTTCATCGTTCAATGACCGGCGGCGAACGCCACAAAGTCAAGAGTAACAGTTACGCTTTGTTTAGGTAGCGGCCTAAACAAAGAACGGCCTATAGAAATGTCTTGTCGCGTGGATACAGAGATGTCCATTCAGAGATATCAGAGCGGCACAAGAATATTCCAGAAATTTTTTTAACCGAGAAACTAGATTAAAATATCTAATAATACATGTAGATGTAGGCCAGTAGACTGAAGCTTACTCCCGTTATATTTTTCGTCTCAAGAAATAAGCTAAAATATGTATAATATCAGTATGAAAAATTAGGACCATAGACTGAAGATTACTTCCGAGATTTTTTCTGTTGAAATTTGTTTCAAAAACAAATTATATTGACACTCAGATTTGGGCCCATAGAGTGAAGCTTCTTGTAGCGTTTTTTACCGCCTAAAATTGCGTTCATGGTTGATTGAAATAATGACTGGAACTTACATTCGCCACGTGTTTTAGAAACATTCATTTTAACTCAAAGATAGGAGGTCTAGCATTTGTTAATCCTTTTGACGTACAAACGGTTTGTAAACAAGTTTTTAAATCAGGGATTTTACGACGATGCTTAGCGCATAGCGTCTCGATAGAATTGATGGCAAAGAATTTCCGGGAACATTTTCTAAAGCCTAGCGCTTGCGTTGTATAGTTCACGATAAATATGATGAACAGAATATTCGCGATGAAAATGAAATTCAAGCTCGCAAAGGTAAGCTTTAAATACACTTTCAAGTTATCACCAGCACCATACAGGATATAATCTATAGGGACAGTCTAGATATAAATTAAGATAATAAATTCAACCTTGGTATACAGTTGACTGTAAGACATACAGTTGACTGTAAGACATACAGTTGACTGTAAGACATACAGTTGACTGTAATACATACAGTTGACTGTAATACATACAGTTGACTGTAAGACATACAGTTCACACTAAGACATACAGTTGACTGTAAGATATACAGCTGACTGTATGACATACAGTTGACTGTATGACATACAGTTGACTGTGAGACATATGTCTTTTCTGGTGTAAAGCAAAGTCTTTGCAAGCACTAGGCTCCGTACCTTTTGTGGTGAAGGAAAACCACTTTAAAGAGTGTCAACGTTAACTGGTATGTTGTTTGGTTTAAAGAGAATTCATTGTCAACGTGTCATCAAGCATCATTTCAGA